GTAGAACCAAATCATTTTATTCTTCACTATCACATATAGGCAGTTTTTAAAAGCCAGATTCACTTATGTATATCCTTGATAAAGCAATAAAAAACTATTAGTATTAAAGGTCAACTTCTGTGTACATATGTCTTTAACATTCTATGTGATAACATGAAAAGTAAGCATTAAGCCTTTCTGTTGCATAAGGGAATGTAATTATTGAAAAGTACTATGCAATTCTTTTATTTGTTGAATTAGCTACCTTTTTATGGAATACTAGTTTTAATTGGGAAAAAAAACTCACATATTATGGTCATTAGACTTGGTTATTTGGCAGATATTTTGAAATTGAATAAGGTGAACCTATCACTTCAAGGAAAGTAACTGACAACTTTCAAAAGAAAATTAGAATTGTGTAGAATCTGTATCTGCTTCTCAATACATAAAGATTTTTTTCTAATGAGATAGGTGATTGTATTAGCCATTTGAGCTCCTATAACAAAATTTTGGGTAGCTTCTAAACAGCAGGCATTTATTCTCACAGTCTTGGAAGTTGGAAAGTCCAAGATATGAGTGGCAAAATGGTCATGCTCTAGTGAGGACCCTCTTCCTGGTTCATTGCTAGTACCTTCTCACTGTATCCTCACATTATAGAAATTGCTAGGGAGCTCTATGGGGGTATCTTTTATAAGGCACCAATCCCATTTACAATGTGCTCTACTTTCATGACCAAAGGCCCTACATCCTAATATTACAATCTTTGGGCATTAGGATTTTAACATATGAATTGGGGGGGGTGCACAAACACTCAGATCATAGCAGTAGTGATATTACCAACTGCTGTGATTTTTTTTTATATCATGTAAATTGTTTGGAATATTTGCTATAATTCATTGGACTAATATTTTTCAAATGGCCAGTATTAGAATCACATATGGGAAAAGATCTAATCAAAGTGAAATATAGACAATAAGTTTAGCTTTGAGAAAAGTTCAGAGATGAGGTTTCAGATTTCACATTGCAACTAATTTTTAAGGAGCTATCACTTGTGGAGTTTCAGTTTAACATCAAAGAATATTCATGATTATTTGAAAAAGCTATTAAAATATATCTCCCTTTTCAAACACTTATCTGTGTGAGGCTGGATATTCTTCCTATACTTCAAATCAGAATAGTGCTCCAGATGGAATGCAGAAGTAGATATAAGAATTCATCTGTCTTCCATTAAGGCAGGCATCAAAGACATGCAAAAATATAAAATAATGCCAGCCACTCTATTCATTAACTTTATTTGTTTTGGAAAATATAGTTATTTTTCATAAAAATATGTTATTTATGTTGACCTGTAATAAGTTCACTATTGTAATTTTAGAGTTAATCAATTGGCAAATATTTCTGTTTTAATTTCTAATGTGGTAAAAACTGATAGATATACCTCACAGAAACAAAAACTCTTTGAGATATTCATAATTTATGGGCTATAAGATCTGAGATCAAAATGTTTGAGAACTGCTGATTTAAGAACAGTTTGAAAACTTCTTCCTTTAAGCACTTCTAGGCTCAAACAAAGATGGATAAATCCTGATAAGAGTTTTTTTTACTAATCCCTTTCCCCTTTCATCTGCTAGACCCAAGTCCAGCAATTGCCCATAACTTTGATTTATTTCATGTAAGTGTACATTCCTGCCATGCTTTGCTAAACAAAGAATTTAGTCACCCTGATTAGATTTTCAGACTTGCTGGCCTCCTGTGATTCAGTTTAGCAAAGACTCCTGGTAACCAGAAAAGTTATTGCTTGCAAGCTTTTTATCATTTGTCACCATTTGGTATTTTATCTCCCTACCCTGCTCTAGATGTCTAAAGGAAAAGCAGTATAGTACAGACCTCTGAAAAAAATCTTTTTATGGTTCATGTTAGACCAAATTCTCTATAAGCAGAGCCTGAGATGGGGATTCTTGTGCAAAATAACTTAACGAGGAAGCACTCTCAGGAGAAGGGAAGCAAGTTAGCTATAGGGAAAGCTAATCAAGGATGTGATGGGATAAGGGTGAGAGTCCAATTTTGTGGACTAAGTGGTTCCGGGTGTCTCATTTTAATCAAATACAAAGTGATATTTAAAACAATGTCTCAATGTAAATAGTTGATGGTAGGGCCCTGGCTGGTTTGGCTCATTGGATAGAGTGCCAGCTGTGGACTGAAGGATCCTGGGTTTGATTCTAGTCAAGGGCATGTACCTTGGTTTTGGGCTCCTCCCCAAGCCAAGCTCTGGTCAGGGCGCATACAGAAAGCAACCAATCTGTGTGTTTCTCTCACATTGATATTTCTCTCTTTCTCTGTCTCTTCTACTGCCTCTTAAAAAAAAATAAAGAAAAAGAAACAATGGAAAATATCCTCAGGTGAGGATTTAAAAAAAAAAAAAAGTTTATGGTAGTGCCAGCCCTACCAGATACTGGCCCTTTGTGTGACTTAAAACAAAAAAGTTACTCTTTCCTCTGACTTGTAAGGCCTGTAAGGAAGCACAAGATTTGGTAACTGAAGTACAGACCATGTTTTAACCCTCACACTTTGCACAGAGCACATCTTGTATGTCAGTATATAGTGGTTCTAGTTGTAAAAATCTGATCATTGTGTCTTGACTATTTTTTAATTCTTTGATATGGTCTTTCATATTTGTCAAAAGACATCAGTCCTACAAAATTCCTGAATGGTGCCATGTCTCAAGATATGCTCAGCCATCTCCATAATCTAGACATTGATGAGAGATTTCAAGACAAAAAGGCCCTCAAAAGAATGTGTTATGGATACCCTCTCTGTATGCATTCATCATTTTTATCACAAGAGAAGTTTTGCATTGAAACTTTTGTATTAGTTGAAGGGGTCCTGCCATTTTAACTGAGGTTTTAGTGTTGCTTGCATATGAGGTCTAATGCAACATTGCCATGTTAATCTGTGCATATATTTCTGCCTAAGGATCTTAAAATAGTCAAGTCATTAGCATAATATCCATTAGGAATATCTGATTAGAAACATCACTGGGGGGAAAAAAAACAACTGATGATCTTCCATGACATTGAAATTATTGCAGTGTAATATCTTGGTGTTTTAATTTCCAATGTTACAGTAGAGAAAGCCTAGAAGAAAGGAACTCTTTGACTAATTATATTAATAAAATGTGTAGGATTTGTTGTGTACATCAGAGACACAAGGGTTATTCCTAGAGTTTTTGTTCATCTTTTTTTGTTGCAGTGGTTACATAGAAAATGGAATAAGAGGCAACGGTAAAAAGAAATAGGAGGTAAAAATAGTTTGGAGAAAATTAAGGCTAATTTTTCCTTTCCTGTTTTCTTTATTCCTTTATTTCTTTAAAAGTCTTCTTAAGATGAAAAATTAAGAAAGCAAGTAAATTTCTACATATTTGGGTTGAGAAAGATATTAAATTGGGTGTACATTAAGAAAAGGAAGCTTTGGGGCTTTTTGAAGATAAAGTGACTGCATATTGGCAAGAAAATGTTTATAAGTTCCTTATTATTGAGAGACTGAGATTATACCTTTCGTTTGATTCAAATAATACTTAGTAAAGAGATGAGAGCTCATTACCATGGGGAACCACACAATCCAGAAGGATACTCAGGATTGTGTTTTTTACATTTAGGCATTTTCAGGGAGAGTCTCAACAATCCACATGACATCCTCTTGTTAAATCATTCCTATACCCTCTGCTAAAAAAAGATAGTCCACTAAACTCTACTCTTTTTTTTTCTTATAAACTACCATAGACACAAAAGTCACCTTTGATATTTTCTAGAAAAAAATATTTTTCTCCTATAACATTATGAGCCTTTCCCCCTACAAAATATGTTTTATTGCACCTTTATTGCAAATTTAATTTATAATTTATCTCTTAGTCACTTATTTAAGTTATAGATATCTGCTGAAAATATCTATCAACCAGCCTGAAAGCATTCTTCTAATGGGGAAGATATAATATAAAGGTAATTACTTTTTTATTCTCTGAAAAATACGTTTTAAGTTTCATTTATATTACTTAAATTTTAAGTAAATGTTTTCAAATTATATCATAATTCAACATTTCAAATTTTAGTGACCCACAAGAGACACCTAGCTTTAATTACATGATAATAATCCAGTAATGCAAAATTTATTATTCTGAAGAAAAAATGGAGGAAACTGGGCTAAAATATGACAAATAGTGGATTTATGGAAATATCCAGTGTGTGGTGGGAGTAAATGCATGATAAGCACAAACATGAAAAAAATTAAACTGCTCCTGCTAAAGAATTTGAACCTATGAAAATGTCACTCACTCCAATGAATCTTACATTCCTAGCCAGGTATCTACAGTTTTACCACTATTCACAAATGTTTCCTTAGTGTTATAACATTAAGTATCCATTACAGAAGAGATGTGTGCTCTAGAAGGACCCACCTTCCCACAAATCACTGGAAGAAACTCCAGAGTATGGGCATAGTTATAGCTGTTTTTTAAGAATTTCCTCATCTGCCTTCATAAACGAATGCCTGTCTACCTCATTTGCCTGCAAATTGCAATACATCAGTAAGATGGATCATTTGGCTTCTTTGTTAGTCCTGAGGGATATGAGCATAGCCCACAGATCTACCAGCAGCTGACTGCCTGGTAAATGTTTACTTATAAATTAGCATGGGTGATAATTTATTAAGGTAATAAGCATAGATTACATTTAATGGCTTAGACATTATGCATTATAAACACAGTATTTTATGTGTAGCTGAGGCAAATGTATATGGTTATTAATATGATACCTAAATGTAATTCAGAAATTTTGAATTAGAGCATTGATTAAGTCAATAATTAAGGGTTTTATGAAAGTTTCACAATGGCAAAGCAATATCATATTGTTCACCTATTCCATGTATCAGGATTTGTTTATTTCTCTTAGATTCTCTTCTCCTTCCCCCATAAAAGACTCATTCTGTTACTGAAGAACATCAGTTCTCTCTTGACAAGCATCACAGCATTAAAACTTTGGCTTCTGGAGCTGAGGTGAATAATCTGTCAGCAGAGACACCATTACAGCCTAGGATGACACAACAAAGAAAGAGAAAGAAAGAAATGGGTATTAGCAAGAGTCTGCTTAGGGACCTAAGGAAGAGGAATTGGGTTGCTGCTTTGAATGCCTGTGATTAAAATAAGTTTTCCCAAAGAAACAATAAGGACACAGTTCTGATCTAATATTTATTTTTATTTAGATTAAAAAAAAAAGGTCACGAGAAATCAAACTGACCCTAATACATACACAAACACCATACTTACTTGGGCCTCATTCCAGGACTAATTGAAATGAGGTATCATGGTGGTAGCCATAATTAGATTTTCCAGTCATAAGTGAAACCTAGGCATTGGCTGGTTTTTGAGAAATATAATTCCTCCCATCCTCATGTTTATTCTGTGGTTTTGGCAATTGTAATATACATAAGATGTAAAATAATAAAAGTAAATAATCTGGGCTAATAAATAATGTCTATCTGAATCTGAGTCCTCATGAAAAAAAAAAAAGTATAACCAAGAGTATAGCTTCCCATTAGACTATCAGCTACCAATGGCAATTTTCACTTTTACCCTTCCCAACTTCCAATATTATGGCAATAGTAATAATATTAAACAATGATGAATGTTTGTTCAATAAACAAAAGTGTTTATTGAATGTTTACTATGTGCCAGACTAAGTGCCTTATCATGTTTTAGTAAGTTAAGAAATATTTGCCAAGTTCTGTGCTAGGTGCTATGGTAAGCCATAAAGAAATGTTTATGCATTATTTCACTTAATGAAACAACCTTCTAAGGTAGCTTCTGTTGTTATCATTTATTCAAATCTACCCTGGTAATAATAGATAATGCAGAACTGGGTTTGGACCCAGATTTCTCTGACTCCAGTCTTGAGAGGTAGTTTTACTACCTTACAGATATTTGCTCTTTCTTTTCCACCATACTCCACATGTATTCCTAGCCTATATCAGAAGTGCAGGTCTTATATTTAAAAGGGATTTAATGAGTATATTTGTTGAGCAGTAACCAAATACTGGGCCCTGTGCTGAGTACTTTATGTGAATCCTACCATTTAATATCCTTTTCTACTGTGTAAATTGTTAAGAGAGATAAAATATAGATGAGGAAACTGAGGCATATGTATTTTAATGAGTGGTGGTAGTAAGGGATGGATCTGCACCTGTCTGTCCCTAGACCTTGACCACAATGCTCAAATTACTCTTACCTCATTTAATCTTCACAATTTTATTATGTAATTTCTATTTTAATCCCATTTTTATGAATAAACTGGATTTACAGAAGTTATGGTACTTGATCAAGATTACAGGGAGGCAAGAATTTGACTTGATTTCCAGAGCCTATATTCTAGAACAAGTACCTATATTGCCTTCAAGTTATAAAAATATATTATGCACATATTTAGGGTATTTGCCAGGCACCATTCTAGGCATAACAAAGAACATTTCAGCAAAGATCAATGCTTTAACAGAGTTTCATTATACTGGGGAGACAGACAACAAACAAATAAAAGCTCAAGTAGTGATAAAAGCCATTAAAAATAAAATAAAAATGGTATAAACAGACCTGGGGAACCTCTTAAGAGTGAATGGCCAAAGAAGACCTTGTTAAAGGAATGGCATTTAAATTACGATCTGAATGACAAGAAAAAGGTATAAAGGCTAAATTCTGGATTAAAAACATCTTCCAGGTAAAATATTTTGTTTTTTTTATAAGTTCTTGGGATCATATCTCAAGGGTTTTATTTTTTTATTGTTGTTCTTAATTGTCATTACATATATCAAATTTATTTTTAAAAGTAAAATCTTAGAAAATCAACTTAGAATAGAGTTTCCAGATTTAACTAAAAAGTAAATATAGACAGACAGTTAAATTGGCATTTAGGATAAACAACAAATTTATTTAACTACAACTATGTTCCAAATCTTGCATGGAAAATTAGCTATACTAAACAATTATTTGTTTATCTGAAATTTCAATTTAACTGGATGTCCTGTATTTTATCTGGCACTCCTAACATGAAGATACTATAAAATACTTAATGCAATAATTGGGAATGTTCTATGTTTGTGTTAGCAAATACAAATAGTGTAACTGACAGCCACATGTGTCTATTGAGCACTTCAAATATGGTTAGTTTTCTGAGGAATTGAATCTTAAATTTTATTATATTTTAATTAGTAAAAGTTTAAATTTAAATAGGCACATGGACTTAAAAGAACTGGTATTGGATAAGAAAGTTCAAAAAGAAAAACCAGTATTGTGCCTTTAGAACATCCCAGAAAAATTTAACAAGAAGTTCTGAGCCTAAATGCCATTCTAAATAAGCTGTCTAAAAATAATTTCTTTGCCTATAAAATAAGAATTTAGACTAGATCGTCTAAGATCTCACTTGAAAATACTATGCTTTTATGAACTGTACAGGCTGCAGGAACTGCACAATATACATATTTTAAAGCCTTAATGCCTAGCATAGGGCTTGGCACACAGTGGATGTTCAGTATATGATTGCTGAAGTGAGCTTAACTCAATGGGACATAAAAATCATCTAGGTTAGAAAATTAAGAATGCAACATGTGTGATAGAATCTATGGCAGGTATCACTAGTCAGCCATGCCACTTTTTCTATACCACAGGCAAGCTTAGAACCTTCTTAACATAGGACTCTAAGTAGCTTATTGATGATTTTGAGGGCCTAGAATTAAAATTTATTTGCTATCTATATAGCTTGATCTACAGGAAACTGTGACTTAAAGATGTAACAATTACCTTTGAATTATAGACTCTCCACCCTGAATTTCTAAAAGGAACTATTTTAACAGATTTTGGTTGATTTATCTTTGTAGCTTCAATTATCTTCTGACAAAGAATAGGGCTTGACTGAAGAGATGAAACTAAAACTGCCAAAGGATGTCTGGTCCAAGAAACCCACATTTAAGTTCCAGATGTAAGTGAATCAGATCTGTTTTCTACTGCAGCATCCTAGTCCATTGGTTTAGATGAATTCTAAGGTCTCTTCAAACTCTGAAAATTAATGTTCCTAGGTTTACTTTAAGAATTGAAACACCTGTGCTCCCGCAATATATTTAATGTAATAAATCTGTAATAAATATCTGACAAAGAAAAACAAGAATAGAACTTGAGGAAAATTTTTTGCTATGTTTCTTCCTGAGGTATATGGTTGGATAGCTCACATTTTTTTAAGCATTTGCTGAGTGAGCATATTATCTGAAGGATGATCAAAGCATTACTTTTCTTTCTTCTTTTTGTTTTATATTCCCTGTGGACGTATGTTATTGTCTGTTTTATATGTGATTCCAGTTTTTATGTTCTTTTGTTTGCCCACACATTTTCTTTTTCATCATCTAGATCTTTGCTCCTTAAAATGTGGTCCATGGGATAGAATTATCTGCATTACCTAGGTGCTTGTTAGAAATGCTAAATCTTGGGGCCCATCTCAGACCTACTGAATCCAAACCTGCACTTTAATATTTCTAGGTGATTCAAATGGAAATTAAAGTTTCAAGAAGCACTGGTATATGTGGCATTGCAATTGCCATCTGGCCAGAGTTAGCATCCTGAAGTGCCAAGCAATAAGGTACAGTAAAAAATATCTTCCCTCTTATTAAATATAACAAATTTTAGGCCCAGTATACAACTTTTCATTGTTAAGGGAGTTATGACTGGCTTTTAAGCAGCCATAGTAGAGCTTGAATTTCTTCTGGTCACTGTGTTGGATCAATAATGAAGTTGCTGATGGTGATAATTATAATAACAATATTTACAGTGTATTATATACCATATTAAGTGCTTTACATTTATTATTTTAATGCTTACAATAACTTTATCAACCCTCATTTATAGAATCCTATATAATAAAATCCTAATATGCTGTGTCCAACTGTTTGTTCAACCATTTGACCATCGCTATGATGCTCACTGACCAGCAGGGGGCAGATGCTCCAACCAGTAGGTTAGCTTGCTGCTGGGGTCCAGCCGATCGGGACTAGGAGAGATGAGCCAGACATGCTCTGGAGCCCTCCCGCCATCCTCCCTATCCCTGATGTGCACCATTGGTGTCCCTCGGCCTGGCTTGCACCCTCTTGCAATCCCGGGTCCCTTGGGAGTTGTTGAAGAGCTGGTTTCAGCCCAATCCCCACAAGCCAAACTGAGGGACCCCACCTACTGGAGACATCCCGCTCTGCAGATGATCTTCAACCTGCAGTGCTGCCCCAGATGCAGCCAGCTAGGGAGGGACCAAGGAAAGCTGGCTCCAGAGCATGTCCGGCCCTTCTCGCCCTGTCCAGCCCCACTGGCCTGTTTTAATTAATTTCCTTTCAATGTGCATGAATCTATGCACTGGGGCACTAGTAGATAAATAATTAGCAGATAATTCTTCTCACCTTGGTTTTCACTACTCAGAGATGGAAAGTTATAGATTACATTTCCTAGACTACCTTGCAGCTAAGGGTGTAGGCATGCCCTTTGTTGCTTCTACTCAAGACATGGAGCCATAAGTGAACTAAATGTAGTAGAACCCATGATCTAGAGATTGGATCTTCTGGTCCATATGCAGAGATATCTGGTCCAGCTTTTAGTTTCAAAGGCCTTAGTTACAAGTTTATGGGTGACAGTTACAAGTGTCAGTGCTGTTTTGGCTACAAAAGTGCCACAGTGTTGTTGGGCAATTTTCCTGCCTGTGTTGTTTCTGAATGTGTGGTATCCAAGAATAATTTGCTAAATCCTTTTCCCCCAGATATTCTGGGAACTGCTTAATATCTTTTAATAAATTCCTTTCCATTTACCTAGCTAGAGTAGATGCTATTGTTTGCCAGTAAAGCCTTGGCTTGCATAATAATTGAGATCATTTAAATTAATATAAGCTAAAAAAATGACTCTAGTAAATTATAGCACTTCAGTATCCAGTTATCCAGAAAAGAAGGTGACGTTTGAGATATTATAAAGCAGAGATTTGAGGTTAATATTTCCTAGAATAGCAGTGATAAAGATAAAAGTAGTAGCATTATGTTAAAGAAATCAATAACTTTTAAGTTAGTTTTGCTGCAATTCTAAAAATGCACCGTACCTAAAAACAAATGTGTATGCATGGCCAAAGTCAAGTAGAGAACCAAAATAATTATCTAGGCAAATTATGAAAGGAAGAGAGAGGAGGAAGGAAATACAATTACTTTAAATGCCCATTTTATAGCAGGCACTGAATAAGGGCCACTAAACACATTCACAAGGGGATTATAAAATAAGAATTATAAAAACTATAATGGTTTGCAGAGCAATGCTGGCTGGTGATCCAACTGATCAAGAGGAGTGAGAATTTCAATTAAAATAGATATATTTAGAGTGAGATTAGTTTTACTCAATGGATACTATAAGTGATAATAAGCAATAACAATCTTATTACTTTCTGTAATAAATAGATGCCATATATGTAAGTAAAATAGTTGGATAATCTCAGTTGCTTATTATTTGCCAAAAAGCATGAATGACCATGTTAGAGCCATAGAAAGAACTCCTTACTCTCCATTCTCCATTTCTTGCTTACCATGATTGTCCATTTTCTGTTTTCAGCCTCTGGGAATACTAGTGATCGTGGAGAATAAAACACTTCATCATCCACTTCTTCTGGTTTTCTGGGCAAGCAGTGTAAAAATGTCCAGTCAGAGGCAGCCACTTCCGCAGTCTAAGGAAAAAAATGGGGATAACTCAGTTTTCTAGTACTCTATCTAGGGGGACAGTGGACATTTCAATAAAGAACTCTATGAGTAATATGTGGTTGATAGCAAAAGGGACCAATTATCCCCCAATATATTTTAGAAGTTACTTTTATGTAATTGTGTTATATTTTGAGCTTATCTCCAAATTATGGTTTTTAGCACTTATACTTTATTATCACTTAAAAACAATTTTGAAGAAGAGCACTGAGATAGGATTGCATTAAACAGGATTATGTTTAGAAATATACTAGATATTTCATTCTTAATGCAAATGTCCTAACACTTTTAATTTTCTCCAACAGTTAATTCCTGCAAGTTACATTTTCCCATCCATTTCTGTTGTTCACTTATAAATTCAAAACTATATTCCATCATAATTTCTTACCTCAGAATTACTGCTTTAGTACTTAAATTTTGTTTTACCTTCTACTCTAAGTCTAGGTTCAGAACTTCTGAGTTTCTAAATACTGGAAAGTGACAAGGGAAAAGAATAACATTTGAACCTGTCATATACCAATGAAAGAGGGATAAATGATGATGGAATAAAATTTGACTTGGAGTGGTGAACACACAATGCAATATACATGTGGTGTAGAATTGTGCATCTGAAACCTATATAATTTTGTTAACCAATGTCACCCCAATAAATTAAATTTTTAAAAAGAAAAATTCTCCATAAAAAACATTTACCACTTATATGACAAGGAATTGGCCATAATATATAAATAACTCCTATAACCAATACTAAAAGGCAAAAAATAGAAAAATGACAAAGGATATGGTAGCAGTTAATTGAAAAAGACACAAATAACCAATAAATACAAAAAAAGATATTTAATTTCAATCTCATTAGTAATAAGGAAAATGCAAATTTTGAAGAGCATGAAACACTAATTTTTAAAATTAAAAATGTAACTAACTAAAGATGGAGAAAGTGTGGAGAGATTATAAATTGTAAATTCTTTATGATGGGCAATTTAGCAGTATTTCCCAAGTTTTAAAAAATATGTGCTATTTCACCCCAAAATTTTCATCTAGGGATCTATTCTCTAGTAATCCTATATAATAAAGTGGTAATATGAAAATTGACCCTCACACCATCACACAAGATGGCTGCCCCCATGTGGTCAAAGATGGCCACCACAAGATAGCCAGAAGGGGAAGGTAGTTGTGGGCAATCAGGCCAGCATGGGAAGGGCAGTTGAGGGGCACCAGGCCTGCAGGGGAGCAGTTAGGCATTGATCAAGCTGGCAGAGGAGTGTTTAGAGGGTTATCAGGCAGGCAGGTAGGCAAGCTGTTGGGAGCCAGCAGTCCCATATTGTGAGAGGGATGTCTGACTGCTGGTTTAGGCCCAATCCCACAGGCCTAAACTGGCAGTTAGACAACCTCCAAGGGGTCCCAGATTGGAGAAGGCACAGGCTGGGCTGAGGGACACCCCTCACCCCCAGTGCACGAATTTCTTATACCAGGCCTCTAGTATTTTCATAAAGAAATATATATAAAGATGTTCATTGCAATATTTTTTGTAATTGGGATAATTGAAAGTAGTCTAATTTATTAACAGGAAATAGTTTAAGTGAATTATAGTCCACTCATACTTTAGAATTCTATGTAGCCATTAAAAAGAATGAAAATATTTAAATGAATAGATAAACAAAAAAATCTAAGATTTGTTAAGTGAAAAAAGTAAGTCAGAATAAAATGTGTAATATACCATTTATGATAAACCAATAGTTGTGTACATAGGCATCTATCTACTAAAAGCCCATTGCATGAAGAGATTCATGCAGTAGGCCTTCCTTCCCTTGGCTTCCAGCACTGATTTTTTTCCTCCGGCACCTGGGACCCAGGCCTTCACTCCATCCAGAGTCTGCTGTCTTCGTCTTTGTTACAGACTCCAGAATCTGCAGTCTTGTCTTCACTGTGGCACTCCACTCCTATAGATTCCTTCACCCCCACTCATTCTTCCTCTCATAGCAGGCATCCTGCCCTGCCTGGCCACTCTGTGCCCAGAGCAGCTGAGTAGCCACCATCTTTGGTTGGCCTTCTAATTAACATACTCACTCTGATTGGCTGTAAGCATAGTGGAGGTACAGTCAATTTACATGTTTGTCTATTATTAGGTAATATATAGATATAGATGATATAGATATAGATATAGATAGAGATAGAGATATAGATGTTATAGATATAGATATAGAAACAGGTAATATGCAAATTAGCCAGGCATCACAACTGCTCAGGAGGAGTTACCTGCACAGATAGGTAGGAGGGGACTGCATGCTGCCCCCAGTCCCAGCAGATACACACCAGGGGTGAAGATGTGCTCCAAGTGGCCACAGCACTGCTCAGAGCACACCCCTGCTGGGTGGCAGCAGCAGAGTGAAACAGCCCTGGTCCCAGATGCCTGGCGGCAGCTGGAGCAAAACAGCCTGGGTCTCAGGTGCCTGGCAGTAATAGGAGCAAAGTAGCCCAGGGCTTGGGTGCCAGAGGGAAGTCGGTGCCAGCAGCCAGGGGAAGGAAGGCCTATTTTTGCATGAATGTTCATGCATCAGGCTTCTAGTATATGTATATATAATAAAAGGCTAATATGCAAATCAATGAAATGATAGAATGACCAGTTACTATGATGTGCTCTGACCACCAGGGAACAGACACTCAATGCAGGAGCTGCCCTCTGGTGGTCAGTGCACTCCCACAGGGGGAGCACCACTCAGCCAGAAGCCCTGAGTTTTGCTCACAGCTGGCAAGTGCAACAACGGTGGTGGGAGCCTCTCTAACCTCTGTGGCAGCGCTAAGGATGTCCAACTGATGACTTAGACCATCAGACATCACCTGAGGGCTCCTGGACTGCAAGGGGACACAAACCAGGCTAAGGGCCCCTCTCCTCGAGTGCACAAATTTCATGCACTGGGCCTCTAGTTCTATATAATAAAAGTGCAACATGCAAATTAACCATCACTCCATCACAAAGCTGGCAGTGACCATAGTCACAAAGATGACAGCACCCCACTGGAGTCCCCAGTCCTGAGGGGGCGGATGCTGAGAGCAGGCAACATGAACAGCCTGGCAGAATGCTTGTTTTATTGCCTTGGCAATGAGGCAAGGGCTCTACCCCAGCCACAGACAGCCCTCAAAGATGGTGGTGCCCACAGCCAATAAGGAGAAAATATGCTAATTGACTGCCACGCCCTCAAAGATGGCAGTACCCACAGTCACAAGATGGCAGCCCCCAGTCTCCTTAGCCCTGCCAGGGTGGCAGGCACATGGCAAGGTTGGGCCTGCCCCTAAGAGGGACCAGCCACTCTGTGTGCCTGCCTCCGGAGTCCCCCAGTCCCCTTAACCCCCAAGCCACCCAGGGCCACCTTGAGGTGCAGGCAAGCCTCAGATGGTGGCTTCCCAGCTGCCCAGGGCTACCCAAGGCTCAGGTAACCAGAGCCAGCCGAGGCTTGTGCTACTTGCAGTGGCAGCAACAGAGGTGTGATGGGGCATTGCCTTCTCCTAATCGCCAGGTCACCTCCTGCCCCTGATGGCTCCCAGACTGTGAGAGGGGGCAAGCCAGGCCAAGGGACACCCCCTCCCCTCCAGTGTATGAATTTTCATGCACTGCGCCTCTAGTGTATATATAAAACTCAAATATGCAAATAGACTGAATGGCAGAACAACTGTACAACTGAACAACCAGTTGCTATGCTGAGCACTGACTACCAGGGGGCACATGTGGAACATGGCAGGTGTCAGCAGCAGGCACAGAGTGTGGAATATGGTAGGCATCAGCCATGGTGGGATGATGGAGCAGGTGAGCAGGGGCACCAGACCAAGGCAGGGCACCAGTTGCTGTCATCAGGGCGAGCCTCAATGGTTACTAAGGGCTCCCAGATTGTGAGAGGGAAAAGGCCAGCCAGGCTAAGTAACCCCATTGGTGCACGAATCTGTGCACTAAGCCTCTAGTATACAGAAAAGTTCTGCAAAGTGACACATCAAATTGATGGACACTGGTTACCTGTGGGAATAGTTGCTGTCAAGGGGGTGGGGGAAGAGATTTTTCACTTTTTTATTTTTTAAACTTCATTCTAGTGACATATATAAATAAGAAGCTTATGTTTAGATATTACTTTATCAATAAATATCTATTATAATGGCTTAATCCATTTCTGCACTAAAACAGATTAGTTGCTCTATTAACAAAATCCCAATGTCCACCTGACTTTTAGGGGTTTCCTCCAGAACAGTTGTTCTCAAAGTATGACCCTAGAGCAGCATCACTGCAACACCTGGGAACCTGGTAGAAATGTAATTTATTGGGTCCCATCCCTGACCTACTGATTCAGCAACCCTATGGGAGCGGGGTCCTGCCAGCTGTGTATTAACATCTTCTCATGTAATGGCTTTCATGAATACCAGAAGAGATTCCCCTGAGAATACCCTGCAGGCAGTTAGCAAAACTCAACTGGACTTGAGTCCTTAGAAAATATAGTTAAGGAGTAGCCTGAAGAACACAATTATGGGGCTTTTCTCAGAAAAGAAATCAGAAGAAACTGCATGCAACAGAAGTAACCTTATGTCTCTAAACACATAAAGTGTAAAGCATTCAGATGCTTCCATTGCTGTGAGAGGGAAAATTTAGCTTCTTTCTTCTGCCTGGCTTTCAATTCCTTCAATCAGGATAAAAGTGTCTTTCTAAAGGACATAGTTAATCTTTGGGAGAAGAGAAATCTCTAGGGCTGTGATCAGCAAACTGCAGTTTGAGAGCCACATGTGGCTCTTTGGCCCCTTGAGTGTGGCTCTTCCACAAAATACCATGGCCTGGGCTAGTCTATGTTGAAGAAGTGACACTAGAAGAAGTTTAAGTTTTAAAAATTTGGCTCTCAAAAAAAATTTCAATCATTGTCCTGTTGATATTTGGTTCTGTTGACTAATGAGTTTGCCAACCACTGCTCTAGGAGATACAGTCAGTGAGTCCTTCAGAGGGAATGAAAAGACATTCTGCTCCCCCAAAGTGAATGAGTGATTAGATGGTTCTGGCCTTTATGAATGGAATTAATGAACATTCAGAGAGGCATTAATTTTTACCTTCATTGTAACCTGGTAACCTTTGAAAGCCTGGAGCCGCTTTTTCTTCTCCTCTTCTTGTCCCATACTTATCCAAGTATCTGTAATTATTACATTTCCTCCACGAGCCGCTTCTAATGGATCATTTGTCAGCGACAGCTTGGTACTGTTCTAGAATACACAGTATATTAATTTAAAACTTCATGGGACAAAGAAAGGCAATAATAACTTTATCTTTAAGGAACATACCTCCTTGGCATACTGCTCTGCCAACTTGATTATACTGGGATCTGGCTCATAACCCTGCAAGGGGAAGAATTTAACCATTATTTAGGTAATTCTATTATATATACTTTATTACATATGCATTATATTCCTTTCAACAATAGTCCCACTCTCTTTCCCTTCTTTTTGCTTTAAGTTGTAGCGTAATCATGTTCAGTAGTATGTAATATTTGCATCTTGATCAAATCATAATAGTGCTTTTTGAAAATTAAAAAGTTAACCAGTTCTCCCATTTTTTTTATTATCTTGACCTCTTTAGTCATAAAGATAGAGTGGGGTTGGGGTTCTAAAAAGACCCCTCTTGGTAACACTCCTTCCTGTTCCTCTAATAGCTTACAAGGATTATATACAGAATTCCACAACCTTATGCATTTTTGTCTCAGAATATTTCCATGAGTTTTTTTAAATATATTTGTATTGATTTTAGAAAGGAAGGGAGAGGGAGAAAGACAAACATCAATGATGAGAGAAAATCATTGATTGACTGCCTCCTGCACACCCCCCACTGGGGATTGAACCTGAAACCCAGGCATGTGCCCTGACTGGAATCGAACCTGGGACCTTTCAGTCCTCAGGCCGATGCTCTATCCACTGAGCCAAACCAGCAAGGGCTATGAGTTGTTTGGTGTGTGTTTTTAATGCTCTTTTATCTGAAATGCTTTTCCACACCCCCTCCATTTGAATAACAGTTTCACATATTTCCTCAAATATTTTCTCATAAAAACCTTCCCTGGTCACCCCAGCTAAATACTAACCCCTTACATGCACACCTTATTTTGCACTGACCAAAAATTGTGAGTGTCAGGCACTTGCTCTGAAATGGCACTTACACAGTAAGCACACTGTTTTCACTAAAATATATTTGCTTGGGATGGTTTGCTGATAGAAGGATCAGGACTTGAGGGAGGCAAGCAAGGTGCCTAAGACATAAAATATAAGGAGGTGCTCACTGTCAGAGTCGTGCAAGCACAAAATTTGTGCTATAAGGTGTCTATCTTGCACACCGTAGTCTCAACACTAGGTGAGAGGATATTTTTAGAGCAGCTAAAGAACCTCGTGCTATTCCAGAACCCATAGGTAGCCCTTCTGCCTCTAATCCTCTCCTTCCAATCTATTCTGTACATTAAAGCAATAATTGTTTTCTCTGAAGCTTCCAATCTTTACTTTGTTTCTTAAGTCAAAGCTGATTAAGGGTATCAAGGCTCCCCACTAACACCCCCTGCTTCTGTCTGTTTTAAATCTTCTCAACATCTTTTGGCAGGAAAGCCGATCTTATTGGCATCCCTGCTCATGTCTTGCCCTTTTCTGCCATCACATACTTTTTTTACCTTTTTTCTCCTCTTAGGCATCTTCAAAGGGACATATCTGCTCCCTTCTTTGTCCAAACTCTCATCCACCTTCATCTCTATACCCTCCATGTGGAAATCTTGTTAGTTCAAAAATCACACTTATTCTCATTTTCCTTCATGCTTCTCATTTTCCTGAATTCTTAGCATTGATTATGAATTGGTTTTTATAAATTCTCAGTATGACATTGTGGTGGAAACTGTGATGTGCCATCCAGATTCCCCTTTGTGAATAAAAGATTTACTCCTCAGCTGCTAGGCGTGCTGTTGAAACATGACTTTCAGCTGTCAGCCCTCTTTGAGCACTGCCTCAGTTGCAGAGAGCTGATGCAACCAAAGTCACATAACTTTCCCAGGGCGAGTGACATTCCATGACTGGTTGATAAGAGGATATGAAACCCTCAGTCCCTCCTCCCAACTCAGGACAGCTCTGAATGGCCATCTTAGTTCTAGGACTCTACATTAGGTCAGCAGAGGCAATTGTTGGTCCTGTATCACAGCTTGGTTTCTCCTTGTGCTCACTCCTACTTCCTTTCCCTCCCTCCCACAGGTATTGATCTCCTGCACAATAAACTGTGTCTCAGAGTCTGCTTCCCAGGAATCTCAACCCATGACAGGTATGTTCGAGTTTATTCATTTTAAATTGTGTTGATTTGCATGTCATTGTCTACCATAATTCTTTCATTATAAAAATTTTTGAAGAAAGAAACTATTCAGATATTGATGATGATAGCTACAAATTTTAGCAGCTTAACTTCCCTTGAAATAGCCATAAATTTTGGAGCTTTGTTTATTGGGATTTGAGGAAGGTAATTATAAAGATTTGCTAATTTAGTAACTAATGTTGTGATAATTCATACTGGTAAACATGATAGGGACTTGACTATTACTTCCTGTGACTCCTGTCCTGAAATTTTAGCCTTCCCTTTGAAGAGCAGATTTCTATATTTCTTAAGTATAATCATTCTTAGAGAAGGAACCAATAAATACTTAGAGAACCAACAGAGAGGTTTGGAAATTAGAAAATCACCCAACCTTGCATGCACTGGATCATGACTGAGAATACAAAGTGGAATTCTTTATTCACAGCTCAGCTTTCAAGAGTAAATCACTCATTGGCTTTTACTTAAATCTTAAAACCAGAGGAAGAAGGTGATTAACAAACTCAGTGTGGTCTAAATATTCACTTAGAACGATGTTAAAATCATACCATTAATAGTTTATGGAGCAATTTTACAATCAATGACAAAATTATGTTTTCTTGAACATGTAAATTATCCTTGGTTGAAGAATGGGAAATAGATTAATTATGGCTTAGAAACTTTTTAATGTTTCTTAAATTTACAATAAATACCCTAGTTCTATCTTTAAAGGAAATAGGTCTACTTATAAATTTCTGGAACAACTTCTACACTATCACACTTTGTAAAAGACATCTCAAAACTCATTCCCACCAAGAATTAGGCAAGTTTTAGTACTCTTTATCATGTAAATGAGTTTCTGCATAGGAATAATACAAAAATTGCTCTGTAATATTGGAATTTTTCCTTTGATGAGAAGAAAACATCTTGAACATGCAATAAATGTTTAAATTATATTTCTCCAACAAAATAAATCCTTTCCAAAAACACCTTATAATGAGAAACAATTATTGTTATTATATGTTTTATCTGTAAAAACTAAATGCTGTAATAGTTATTAATACAAACTAGATTTGTAGAGAGAGTGATGCTGAACAAAAGAAAATTATCTGTTGTGAGAGTTATGTCTCTGAGTGCTCAAGTTTACTGTAATAGGGTGGCTTCCAATATATGCTATTGCCTAGGCCTGCTTTTCTTCTATGGCAAGTAGGTGGAATAGTGTCCCCCACAAAATTTATTCCCACCCAGATTCTAAAAATATGACCTTATTCAGAAGTAGGGTCTTTTCAGATGTTATTAGTTAAGATGAGGTCATACTGGATCAGGTTGGGCATAAATTTAATATGACTGCTATCTTCATACAGAGGGACATTTGTAAACAAATAAAAAGCAAGGTACACCTAGGGCCACCAGAAGTTGGAAGAGACAAGGAAGGATCCTTTCCTAGAGGCTTCAAAGGGAGTATAGCCCTACCAAACACCTTGATTTTAGACTTCTAGTCTCTAGAATGAATAAGGAAACAATAAATTTCTGTTCTGTTGAGCCACCCAAGTTTTGGTAATTTATTAACAACTGCAGATTAAGGCAGCAGAGTGTGTTAACACAAAATGGTCCACAAGAGCATCTGTGGGATCAAACTGAAGCTCTCTTTTGTGAGGCAGTGCCTGACATGGCACTAGGGTTACCAAATTATCATAGTTTGTCAGTTATTCTCACAGTTTTTAGCACTGATAATCCCATTTCCCCAGAAATCCATACTCCTGGGAAAACCAGGATGGTTGATCACTGTAAATAGCATTCTTGCTTACATTCTTCCCTTTCTCTGTTCTGTTTCCCCTATTCTCCTACAGGTTTTTTAAGGAGTAATTACTTAATAAATCACTTCATCTCATCATTTAGGCATTTTACCACCTCATATCATCACAAGATGAAGGGGAGGGCAGTACAATAAGATTTTTGGAGTGAAAGATACCATATTCATATAACTTTTATTACATTATATTGTTATATTGTTCTATTCTATTATTAGTTACTAGAGGCCCAATGCATGAAGATTCGTGCAAGAATGGGTCTTTCTTCCCCTGGCTGCTGGCACTGCCTTCGCTCCAGCCAGGGCTGCCTTTTGCTCTGGTCCAATCACCTTTCTGCCTTTCCATGCTGTCCAGAGGCCCAGAACGGCTGAGGTGGTGTGGAATGCCTGTTTTCCACCTCACTACTGGCCACTCAGCACCTGCGTATGCAAACCGCCATCTTTGTTGAGCTAATTTGCATATTCACTCCAGATTGGCTAGTGGGCATCACAATGGTATGGTCAATTTGCATCTTATTCTGTTATTAGTATAGATTGTTTTTCATCTCTGACTGAGACTAATTTATAAATTAAACTTTATCATAGATATGTATGTATGTATGTATGTATGTATGTATGTATGAATGTGTGTATAGGAAAAAATAGTGTTTAAAGAATTCAGATCTTTCTGTGGTGCCAAGCATCCACTGAGAATCTTGGAATATATCTCCCACAGATAAAAGGGAACTACTCTATTAGAAAAATGATAGCATTCTATCCATGCCTTGTGAATTCTACACTATCTGAATTGTATTGCTTTCTTCATCCTTTGTGGTAGCAATGCACAAGGATACCAGTCATCAGCATGACTGGTTTCAGGGCATTTGAGGGAATAACTCAGACATGCTTTTACAGAGTCATAGGATGAAAGGCATCAGCCAAGACTGTTTCTTATTGTAGAGATGGGAAATTGGGCACCCAAGAAGGCAAATAGCTATAACAGGTGGGCTAGTAACATAACCTACATTTTATGGCCTTATCTGTATTCCTGAATGGAAGAGAGGCTTATTTTCCCTAGGTAATTGCATCTGGGGATGATTTAAGGTGGGGGTAGTTTCAAGGCAGAAAGTTTCCCTACCTTTGGAGTAGCAGCCTGAATGTGCATTCCGAATTTGGCTGCACTCATCATTATGGAGTGCAGGATGTTGTTCCCATCCCCAATCCAGCTGAGGGTAAGGCCTTTCAGAGAGCCATAGTGTTCCTAAGAGGCAAGGGATGGAGAAGATTATACCTGGGAAGAAATTAACTTATATGAAACAATTGTTATGGTTAAAATAAAAAAATTCTTCACCCCAATTTTAATGCTTTGTTGGAATGATTAAACTATTTTTGCATTATACTAAGCAATTAAATAATATAAATGTATAATTGCCAAAAATAGAAAAATGTCCTAATATCTTAAATCAAGACATCATATGAACTCATATGAATACTCATATTTTCAAACTTTTTAAATCTGAATCTTTGATGCATTCATTCATTCATTCATTCATTCAACAAATTAAATAAATGTCTACTTTTCTTGGCCCTATAGACAAAGCAATGAATAAAGGAGAAAAAAAAATCCCTGCCTTATGGAGCTTACATTTCCTGGTATAAGAAAAGGGAAATACAATGTATCTAGAAGAGTATAACATGGTAGTTGAGTATGTTTTCATGTATGTAAAGTTGGAAAACATGCTCATTATTAATCTTAATTCTTTACACATATGGACACATGTAGCTAAAGTATAAACACATGCATTGAAATAATAAATACAGACATCAGGATAATAATTTCCTTGTGGGGGTGGGAGGAAATGAGATAGGAAGAGTTAAACAGCTGATTTAGATTCCATCTATACTAATAAAAGCCGAGGTGGCCCTTGCACACTCACATGATGCCCTCATGTCACCATAAGATGGTCACCCCTATGTCATCACAAGATGGCTGCCACAAGATGGCTGGCAGGGGAGGGCATTTGGGGGCCATCGGGCCAGCAGGGGAGCAGTTAGGCATTGATCAGGCTGGCAGGGGAGAGGGTAGGGGGCATTCAGTCTGGCAAGCAGAAGAGGTTAGAAGCAATCAGGCAGGCAGGCAAGTGGTTACGAGCCAGCAGTCCTGGATTGTGAGAGGGATGTCCAACTGCCAGTTTAGGACGGATCCCTGTGGGCCTAAACAAGCAGTCAGTCATCCCTGAAGGGTCCCAGATTGGAGAGGGTGCAGGCTGGGCTGAAGGACACCCCATCCTATGTATGAGTTTCATGTACTGGGCCTCTTAATAAGCTGCTATTTACTCATTCAACTCTCACTTTGAGGATCTCCTATATGAAGGTATTGCACCAGGTCATACAGGGGACAATATAATGGATAGGACATTTCACTGTCTCTCAATGAATTTATAATCTAGTAATGATAAAGCCCCAGGGTAAAGCATTCAGTTTTCTGGCATATATGTAAAGCCACATTCACAAAAAGCCATTTGGTATTTAACATCGTTATATCATCCTTTCTGCATGAATCTTATCCACATCACCAATGAGTTTTATTTTTAATTTAACTTCACATTTATATGTGCATAGCTTATTCAAATGAGGAGGAATATGGACCTATCCAGTTTACCCTGTTTCCCCAGAATATTCCATAGACACAGCAACCATGGTTTTTAGGAATCCCAGTTGCAAAACAATGTAGAATGGCTGTGGCAGAACAAAGGGAATAAAGTTATTCTTTTAAAGTTATTCAAGTTCCTAAATTGGGGATACGTGACTAAATTTGAGCCTCAATTCTATATATTCTGCATGTCCTTAACTCCAATCTTAATCAGTTTATTAAAATGATAGAAATAGCCTTCTTCTCAGAAAGTGATTTCATAATTGACTTATTTTGAATGTTGAAAACACACTCCATCAGTTTTTACTCCCAAGCCACACAGCCTGATGTATGGAGGATTACAAAAAGCTTTTCTGTTCTGTAGGTTACAGCATTCAATATTCATCCATTGTGTTAAATATGGCACCAAAAAAGCAAAAGTATTGAAAAAACAGGGGATAAGAGAAGGGCTAAAAGAAGTTGGGAATCAGGTTGAGAACAAAAGGCTCTTATAAAATGTTTTTAATAATGCTCTATTCCTTGAATATATAGTGTACAAACATGCTATAATTCATTACCAAGATTATATTTAAAAACAAAACACCAATACCATGATAGAAATGTTTCTACTTAGAGCTAGTCAAGAATAATTTATTAATTTTGCTCTTATAAAGGCAAGGAAGTAAGCCAACCTGGAGCGTGAGGTAGTCAGCCAGGATCTGGATAGGATGATACAAATCTGACAGTCCATTGACAATAGGGATGGATGCTTCTTTGGCCAGGATGTCCAGATCTGATTGTTTATACACTCGAGCCAACACTGCATCTGTCATGCTAGATAAGACACTGCAGCAAACCAAGAAAAGATCATCTAAGTTAATTATGCTTAATAGTTCCTTTATTAATACAGAATCTTAAACAGTAATAATAAATTCTAATAAGTTAGAAGTTTTACTAAGCTACAACTACCCATCACCACAACATATTTAAAAGATATTAAATGTGTAGTTATTACAGAAGCCAGATGTTGTTCCACTGATATCTTAAATAGTGACAGCTAATTTTACTGTTTTTTAGAGATAAGAAACCAATTGTGGGACTTGCAGTCATAAGGAGGAATTATCTATACTAATAAAAGGGTAGTATGCTAATTAGACTGAGAGATCTTCCAGGAGACCTTCTGGGCATCCTTCTGGACAAAGCCATGGTGGCAGGGCTGAGGCAGAGGTGGTTACAGGTGATAAGGCCAGGAGGGGAGGGCAGTTGGAGGTAATCAGGCTATCTGGGGGGCAGTTGGGAGCAAGCAGGCTGGCAGTGGAGGGCAGTTGGGCGAGCAGGCTGGCAGGCAGAGTGGCTAGGGGTGATCAGGCAGGCAGGCAGGTGAGCAGTTAAGATCCAGTGGTCCCAGATTGTGAGAGGGATGTCCAACTGCAGGGATCGGGCCTAAACTGGTAGTGGGACATCCCCCAAAGGGTCTCAGATTGGAGAGGGTGCAGGCCTGGCTGAGGGACACACCCTTCATGCACAAATTTTGTGCACTGGGCCACTAGTGTGTATATATATGTATGTATATATATATATATATATATATATATATATATATATATATGCATAATATGCAAATAGACCAGATGGCGGAATGACCTATCGCTAGGACATGCACTGACCACCAGGGGGGCAGATGCTCAATGCAGGAGCTGCCCCCAACCTGCAGGTTCTGATCACCTGATGGGGAATGGAGAACCGGGGGTGGGTGGCAACAGACACTGGCAGCACTAGGCCAAGGCTGGTGCAAGCAAGTGGGGCCTCAGTCACCCACAGGTCGCCCCACACACAGAAGGCAACTGGCGGTGGTGGTGGGGGATAGGGCCAGTTGCCAGCAGCTGGGAAGATTGGCCCTGATCACAGGCCAGGCCTAGGGACCTTACCTGTGCACAAATTTCATACACCAGGACTCTAGTAATTAATAAATAGCAGTTGGCAAAGTTAACAGAGAAAAGACCCAAAAGAAGATATACAAATAAATATTAATGACCTGTCATGAAGCTAAGTTTCTTTTGCACTATCCCACAGACAAATATACATTTTCAACTATCAAATTGAAAGTACCATTGTGGTAGCCATGGAGGTGCACAAACAGATTGCCTTACAAGAGAGAACCTTCTAAGAAGAGTGACATTAGCTAACAGCCCCTAGATACTGTACCTTCAGAATGTACTGCAGCATTCCTGCCAAGGTCCCACTTTTCCCAGGCTATTCCCACCAATGACTGAGTATGGTAGGGGCATGAAAGCTGGACCATTCTGCCTGACAGGACACTTTTCTGATAGGCAGTTATCTCTGCAAAAGACATTTCTGCTGAGGCCCCACTTTCCCCAGGCTATTCCTATCCACTATCTAAGTGCTCTGAACTACCTAAGCACCCCCACCCACCCACCCACCAAAAATAAAGTAATGGCAGCCCAGAAGGACAGAAGACTTTGTTCATAATGTCATTGGCAGGGAGTGTTTTCTAGTTCAATTGAAGGAAAAAGGGCATCTCAAATCCTAAAAAAATGAATAATCTACTCCCTTACATAAGGCACCCTCCTTAGAATAATCAGCAACTCTGACCTATTGGATACCCCAATGGTTCACAAACTACTAAACTCCTGAAATAGGGTAGAGTCTGTGTCTTTTTACTCTTATTAAGTTTCCCAAGTAACTCAGATAACCTTCTAAAGTTAGAGAACCACTGTCCTAAGATATAGGGTAATATGTTAAAAGGATTTTAAATTTTTACTTCTTTCTTCAAGTTCTTAATAAAAATTCCCTTCTCAGTTATGATACTGATGCTTCATACTATAGAATGCATGTTTTTAACTTCATTATAGGAAGTAATGTGGATGGAAGTAGATAGCTGAAAAACAGGAGATGCTAGGGGACCAACTAGAGAAATCAGTGTTCTATATTCATGAGATTGTCCCAAAGTTCCTAGAACAGAGATCCTCATATTGGGTGCATATTGGTATCATCAAAAGAGCTGTAAAAAATCTTGATGCCATATTCTGAATTTTGGAGGGTTAAATCAGAAGCTATGGTGAAGGATTCACATCAATATTTTTAAAACTCCCCGTTATTCCAATGTAAAGACAAAGCTGAGAATCATTGTCCTAGAAATACAGAGACAGGGGGAGGGTGGAAAGAGGTTATTCTAATGCTGAATGGAACAATGGGTCAATGTAGAGGAGGAAATTCTTTGTAACTGAAATTACATACTATAAGAAAAGTAAGGAGTAACAACATGATGTGTTTTACTGAAAAGTATGAGATCTTATACATTTGTAAAAGAAGTACTGTATTTTCCTTTCATCTCAGTCACACCAACAAAAATCTTATTGAAGCCACAGTACCTATAATCTTTTACCCCAACACTTGTAAGCATCTCTAGTGCCCAGATTTTTATCTTAATACTGTTCTATAAGAAAAACCAACAATCCAGAAACCATTAGAAGATATTCAATTCTAAGACCTTGGGCAAGATAAAATCAATATAGGTCTATAACACCGTATTGCTGCCAGAAGCAAAAGTAATTTTTAAAATGGCAGGGGCAAATCTAAAAGGTAAAAAAAAATCAACTTAAATGGAATCCCATTATCAAGTTGTGATCACTAAATGAAACAAAGTATAGCTGTAAAATGCCATGTTATTCATAAGAATAAATATAAATTTACAAAAATATAATTCTAATATCAAAGAAGGAAGACTATTACCATGCACATTTAAATTTATTTTCTTAATGTAGGAAAGTGTTTATATATAACTATCCTATATAATAAAACTCTAATATGCTAAGTGTCTGGTCATTTGGTTGTCCATTCAACCAATCAAAGTGTAATATGCTAATGATATACTAAGGCTGCTCAACCGCTTGGTATGACATGCACTGACCACCAGAGGGCAGATAGTCGACTGGGAGGTTAGCTTGATGTTGGAGTCTGGCCAATCAGGACTGAGCGAGGAGTGGGCCTAAGCCATCAGTCAGACATCCCCTGAGGGCTCCCGAACTGCAAGAGGATGCAGGCTGGGCTGAGAGACCTCCCTCTCCCTGAATGCCTCTAGTATAAATATAGATATTTTGGGAGTTTTTGTTAAATATATTTCTGGTCATCAATTATGAATGTATACCATTTTCAACCTGTGCAAACCACAAAGAATTAATATATCTTATGTCAAAGAGTCCTAGAAATAGTACAGACTACCATAGGTGTATAGTCCCCACCAACATTTGTGGTCTTATACAAAGTGAAGTACAAGAGAAGTCCAGCAGTTAACTAATATCAGTTGCCATATATAATTTATAATCACAAAGTTGATACAGCCATTCATTCAAAAATTATAACTTAGTTAACTGTCCTAAAGAAGAAATCTAAATTTTCAAACTCACTTTCCTACCTCTTTGGGCATCAAACCTCTTGATAACACAACTCAGTATAACACAAGATCAATGAAAAATGTACATATTATTAAATAGTTAAATTAGTCCAGGTTAATATGTCATGAAAATATTACAATGTATCATGTACTGCCACAGATTAAAACAAAAACAAATCAAAGAATACCTCATCTTTTCATTTCTTTTGAAAACTCAGAATTTATATGAAAAACAGGAATAAGGACCCTGTGGTAGACAGAATCAATCCCCTCCCCAAAGATGTACATGTCCTAATCCCCAGAACCTATGAATATGTTACCTTACATGGCAAAAGGAATTTTGCAGATGTGATTAAATTAAGGGCCTTGAAATAGATTATCCTGGGGTGGGCCAAATATAATTACAAAGGCTCTTAAAAGAGAGAGGTAAAAAATGAGAGCAGATGCTAGCTAGGAACGTAGCCCTATGGGTTCATTTAAGACCTCTGTCCTCCAGAAGTTTGTAAGATAATATATTTATGTTGTTTTAAGTCACAAATTTTCTGGTAATTTGTTAAAGCAGCAATCGCAAATCAATATAGAGCCCATGATAAAAAGTGAAAACTATGTGATAAAAATATATTCAGCTTAGTGGCCATCAGCTTGAGTTTAATTCATCTTGAATTTAGGAACCAATTCCCAAAATCTAATCAAACTTAAGTGGTCAGCAATGCATTTAACTTGCATTCCTTGCCTACAGAGATTATTATTTTTTTCCTTTCAGTCTGGTAAAATTACATATATAAATCCTGGAAATGTATAAAAATAGTCTCTTGTGGAATTCAAAAAAAACCAGCAGTGTATAGAAATTTAAATTCCAGAACCATGCAAGGATAAGAATAAAAGTAGGGATAAGAATGTAAAAACAATATTAAATCTATATTACGTGTTGTGCCCAGTTTTATTAAAAATTAATCAGCTCTGTAATCAACATGATATTTTATGGGTACCTTTTCCTTTTTTAAATGTTTAGAGCATTCAAGGAAATCTGAAATACTAGGCTTATGATTGAGTTAAATTTTAAGCATTTGATTAAATTTGCAAACTGTTTAAATGGCTAAGGAGACTTATTTAATATGTATTTTATTTATTGGCTGGATACGTAGTATGGGAATGTTTAAAGCAGTCATTCTGAAACTTGAATATACATGAAAATCACCAGGAGGACTAATTAGAATATAGCCAATTGTATTTCTGATTCAGTAGGTCTGGGTTGAGGCCCAAAAGAATTTGCATTTCTAAAAGGTGCTACTTATGCTGCTGGTTTGGGGAGCACATTTTAAAAAACACAGGAATATTTGCTATTTTATGTTTAGAGATAGATTATGTTAAGGAATGCCAAATGTTTGATAAATTCATAAGGTTGACAGATTGAACTGTAAATAAAAAATAC